GTGTCTTTAATTTCAATTTGCTTATTATTGAATTAATTATTAAATATTGTAGCTTTTAGCAAATTTTATCTGCTTGTGTGTAAAATCAATATCGGTTTTTCTTACAATATTTTTTTAATTTAAAAAATGTTAATATTTTATAATGTTTTTGATAAAAATAAAAAATATGTACCGATGAGTCTTCGTGCCCTAAGATACGTGTAAGTTATCTGTTTTTTCATAATTTTGTTATTTTGCTGCTAAAAATTTTATTGTTTAATAAATTGTGCTTACAGAAAGAATAAAGGAAATATATTTTGGTTAAATTAATTCTTTCTTTATATTTTTGTTTTATAATAGAACTGGGTAATTGCGTGTCTTGTCATGAAGGTTGCATCGTTTTTAAGAATAATGACAAACAGTTTAGTACAGTCGACACAAAACTCTTGCTCTTATTTTTATTTTTACAATATATTAGTGCGAAGAAAAACAAAGTTATGTAATTTTCAACGAACTATTGCATTTTGCTAATATCATGTAATTTTTAGTCTATTTATTACTATTTTAACTTTTGACTTGCGTTTTAGTTATAAGTTTTAATGTCATCTTTTATTGTACTGAGGATGGTCAAATCTTGACCGAAACGTCTACTTATTTATTTGGAAATTTTTGAAAAATATACATCTTGTCAAAATATACATTTTTAAAAAATTTACATCCTTTGTCGTGACTGTATGCTCTTTATTATTTAACCTTAAAAAATATGTTTTTGTTTTTGTTATTAGTGAGTCCTTCAAACAACGATGGTTTAATAATAATTAATTTGCCTCAAATTTGTGTGTTTATTCGCATTGACTCATTATAACATATAGTTATTAAAATAGATAATAAATTTAAGCTAATTGTTTTAAGTTAATATTACATAAATCATTATTTCAATTATACTTATTTCAATGTACACTCATAACACAACGTTCTTCTACCTCCAATACCGGGCACATTAATAGGGACAAGTTTAAAATCTTGCGGTACGTATTACTGAATTTACATAAATTCCTTTATATTTTTTGAAAAATATTAAAAATACTTTAACAGTTAAAAAATAAAATATCTTTGATACGTTAACAATTTATAATTTAACAAAAAAATACTTTTTCTTATTTATTCGTTTTCTACGGCTTATTGAAAAGCTACAAAAGCACACTAGGGACAGACACAGTCATAGGGACAGTATCCTATACATTCAGTAATTATCCTATACGTTCTAATATGTAAGTGTGTCCTCTGCTCCGATGAAGATAAAATACTAATTATCATTACGTGTTGTATTGTGGCCCTATATAGTGGGCCGGAAAATCGAGGAAAAAACAAGGGAACTCAAAGAAGAAGAAGAAGTCTCTCGCTATAGAGACAACATGCACAAACAATATCATACAATTGGAAACATTAAAAGTTTAGAAAAAAGTATTTAGAATTAAGTTTTATAAATGTAAATCGAGATAAAGAGTGGTAAAGATGAGCAATATTGTGTATAGCGGTAGATGCAGAACCTTGTAAGGAATGGCTCTGCAACATGTTAGATAAGGATAGATGTACGCGTTTAAGTGAGACAAAACGATAATGTAAAAAACTAAATTAAAGATATCACTATTATCAATATTTTTTTCAATTTAAAATTAAAAAGTCCGTTTTATTAACATCGTTGTAGTTCGGCCTTTACTTTAATAGAGAAAAACTTAAAAGCAATCCTTTGGGTTTTTTTTATGTAATGCTTTTATGTAAATATCAACACACCAATTACGTCCATTTTTGTGATATGGGAATTAGGTATGTAAAATCATAGTATCAAAAATGGATGCGGTGTGTGTCCGTGCTAATAAGAGTTGCCAGGATTGACTTTTATTAACAGAACACGTACTACATCCATTTTCGACATTATGATCTTATCGACAGTTTCACAAAATAAACGTGGTAAAACAAAATAAATCACTGGTCAAAATTATATTTATTTCAGTACGTTTTGCCCAGTAATTTCATCAAATATTGATGAAATTACTGGGTAAAATATTCCAAAACTAATATAAAATTTATTGCAAGTTATTGAAATTTCATCAAAATTTTATTAAAATTTTTCTATTACTCAGTAGTTCATCCCTTGTAAAAATGACTCATACACACACTTTATTACAAGTTTTTGTTGCATTAAATAAACATGTTGTTATCGATTCTAATTCCCTACGACTATTTTTCTATAAGAAATGTGCGAGATCTATACATAATTTTTCATAACTTCAAAAATTTTTTAGATTTTTTATAAGGAATTGGAACATTTTTTAAAAGTATTTATAGCTTTTCTAGAATTTTTTCCCTGAATTCTAAAACATTTTAGATTTCTCATTCTATAATTTCTAAAGAAAACTTATAAAATCTGAAGAAGTTTAAGAGGTATTTTTTCAAAAATTTTCATGAACATCAAGTGTGACAAATTCTTAAAACAATTCCTGGCGAAAAAAATTTTACGAAAAACTGCATAGATTAAAATAAGATCTTAGAAATTCTTAGTTTTTATATATACACGAAAAAATTTTTATATTATATATACACGTACATATAAAGTTACAATTTATTATCGATTTACCATATATTGTTAAAGATACTTTTTAAATTACAAACTGTTAATTTCTTTATAGTTTCAATTTTGATGATAATTTATTCTATTTATAGAGATTATCTACCAATATTATTAAGGACGTACATACAATCATTCATATGATCTGACATCGAGCTACATCATTAATATGACTGGAATTTATTCATTTATTCATACTGACTGATCTTTCTCGCTATTAAGCGATGAATTGATTCGGAATCATGACTCTTCATTACATTGTTTATTAATTATCAAGTTTGACTACATATGATGTGTGTGCGTGCGTGCGTGCGTGCGTGCGTGCGTGTGTGTGTGTGTGTGTGTGTGTGTGTGTGTGTGTGTAGTTGCAATATACCGTCCTTTGTAACACTAAGGTGAGATGATTCTAAGAAATCTGTTATATTATCTATTGTAACTCGAACGTGAGATGATCCTCATAATGTGTCAATATAATTAGATATTTAGATATTTATGTATTTTGTGGCTGATGAGGACTAAGTATAGTCGAAACGTATCGTTGAAACTTATCGTCGGAAAAAATTATAATTTGATTAATAAATATTATTTAGTACACCTAACTAAGCTCGTTTAACGTATTGATCTGCGTTTTACTATTTATTAATTTGTTGTAAGTTATACGAGCGAAAAGAATTGATATTATTTATATTGTAATATTCTGAATTTTTCTTAGATATTTTAGTGAGACATAGAGTGGCGTTGTTTGTTTAAAAAATCAAGAAATCTTCAAATAACGCCGTTGTCCCACTATGAAAATTTACGAAAAACTAAGAATTTATAATAAGATCTTGTTGTAGTTTTTCTGTACTTTTTCGTAAACAATTTTTTTTCGCCAGGAAAGTAATATAAAATACTTATAAGAATTAATATTAATGGTCATGTGCATACACAAATTAATTCTCGTATAATAATAATGTAAACATTGCAATCCTTAGATCATCTTTAAATGTAATAATCGCACAAAATATGAAGCATAATAAAAAATAGTAAGAACTGTCATATATTGGAAAAGAAATTTTCAAATGTGTAACAGTACTTACTATTTTTTATTATCATATTTTATTATTACATACGATATTTTACTATTATATTTGAATTAATGTATTGAGGATGACCCAACTCAAGGATTGAAATGTTTACATTATTATATGAGAACAAATTTATGTATTCATACAATCACTATTGTTGTTTTTTTAAATATCCAGCAAACACACATATATAAGCGTTATAGTGCTTTAATAAAACAATGTAACAGGTAATATAAAGTATATGTTGTATGTGACGTAATTTGTTATTTCCAACTCATTAGAAATTACATTTATGACATAAATATAACATTCCTGGGAAAACAGAAATCTAATTAATCTAATCTTATTGCTGAAATAAGTATTATCGATTAGCATAAAATTCCAGAATACATTTGTCAAAATAAAAAAAACCGTTTTTCCTGAATTAGGGAATCAATTTCATAGTGTCACCCATTCTAAGCTGTATCACATTTAGCGATGCTTAATCTTTGTGACCGTACGGAAATTGCTACTTCAATGATCTACAAACACAGTAATATTAACGGATGTACAGCTGTGACATATCTGATTAACAGATATTGTCGAACAGATGGAACACATACAGTTACAATATATTTCTTTCATAAATGAATCTGAAGATTTAGTTCAGTTATATCAGTTTCTACTGATTTTCATATATGCAAAATATCATGTAGAATAATTATATAATGAAATATATATATAATTATGCATACTTTTCATATGTATATCTTTCTGCTCTCTATTTGTTAGCGTAATGAAAAATTCAGTGTCAAACGCAGCTATCGTAATATTAATATAACAATCATATTAAGTATATAAATAATAAGTATAACTTGATGAAACTTTTGAGGCTTTCACGAAATTTTCTTCAGAAACGCTAAAAGACTTGTGGATTATTGCCGCATCATGATCTATTGCTAATGCCAAGGTTTCGGAAATCTTACTGTTCACTTCATTAGGGCGAGAAGCTTACTGAATTGCTCCGGAGGACTCCTTTTATACAAACTTTGTTAAAGAGGAGGGGGAAGAGAAGTGTTTGGAGGAAGAGAGAGGAAGAAGAGCGGTTCTTAATATTCTATTTACGTTATAATCCATGTTTAAGTTGTCTGGGTGTTTCTGGATTTCTAGAACCTCTTTGTTTCCTTGCAAAATGATTATATAGTAATTATTTTACAAATTGTATTTGGTATCCTGACTCAATGCTGTATTTTGTCAATGCTGACTGTGTGACATTTCAATCTGATATCCCATTGATGTTTCTTCATGTACACATTGACCCGATTTCACCGATATATACAGGGTTGGCCATATTCGACGGAAAGATGTGGCAACACTGTAACTTTTGACAGAGATGTTAGATCGAGTAACGACGTAGCGCGTTTGAAGCGTCAGTCGAAGGAAATTTGTGCCATGGAACAGTACACGCCACGCGAACGCTCTCAGATTGTTGAAATTTACATTCAACAAAACAAGTCAATTGTTAAAACTCAACGTGCATGGAGAAAAATAAATAAAGTGAAAAGTGCGCCTTCCGCGAACACATTGTATCGTTTGTATGAAAGATTTTCAACTGGTGAGGCACTCACTAATCCCAAGCGTCCAAATAAAGTGCGACCAAGGCGATCGGATGATAATATCGCACTCGTACAGGCCAGTGTTCAGAGGTATCCAACAACATCTCAAACACGTCGATCTGAGCAGTTGGGCATAAAACGAACCACTTTACGTCGCATATTGCATCATGATTTGCATTTGTTCCCATACAAAGTTCAAGTGACGCAAAAACTGTTACCTGTCGATAAGCCACGTCGATTGGAATGGGCCCAACGTGTAATCGAAATGGCTGAAACTGACGAAAATTTTTGGCAAAAAATCATCATGAGCGATGAAGCTCATTTCACGTTAACCGGAACCGTAAACAAACAAAATTTTCGGTTCTATGGTACTGAAAATCCTCAAATCATTCACGAGGTACCTCTTTATGCCTAGAAAGTGACTGTTTGGTGCGGGATTTGTGCTGATATGATCATTGGCCCGTTCTTTTTCGAAGATGAAGCTGGCGAAACGGTTATCGTCAATCAGGAGCGTTATCGTGATATGATAAGTGATTTTTTGATGCCAATTGTTCATGATAATGGTATGGAGCACTTCTGGTTTCAACAAGATGGCGCTCCACCACACACAGCTCGAGCCACTATCAATTTTTTGAAACAATTGTTCCCTGGACGTTTGATGTCAAAAAATGGTGATTTTGAATGGCCACCGCGTTCACCAGATTTAACGGCTCCAGACTTCTTTCTGTGGGGCTATTTGAAATCAAAGGTTTATGTCAACAAGCCAAGGACCCTAGACGAACTTAAGACCAACATCCGACAGGAAATAGCCGCCATATCGGCCGAAACATTGTTCAAAACGATGGAAAACGCTGCAAAACGGGCACTACTCGCCATGCAGGCTCAAGGCGATCATTTAAGAGATATCATATTCAACAAATAATGTACACAAATCTCCTTGAACCATATTAAATGGCTTTTACAATGAAAAGCAAAAAATGTGTTTTTTTCCCATGATTAACAAAAAAACATCTTTCCGTCGAATATGGCCAACCCTGTACTTTCCCGTAAAATCAAGCTATTTTATACTTTTGCAAAATGAGTGGAGGCCTTCAATCTTTAGGATTTCTCAAGATTTGACCGATCTTCTTTGGGGGCATGAAAATGGTTCGGATATTATATTTGTTCAAAATCTTGCCGATTCGGTATGTTCCTTTTACATATGGGAGGCTTATATAGAAAAGCATCTGTTGGTTAATTCATCTTGTAGTTGTTGTATGCCTGAGTTTCTTGCCCTGATCTTGTGTTTGCTGATTATCCTGTTAATATCATTCTTATTGTATCTGTTGTAAGGTTTGTTTCAAGTGGTTGAGTTCTGTCTGCAAGTATTCTTTGTAAGAAGTAAATGCTCTATGCACAAGTGAGTGTATTGCTGCCTGTTTTTCTGTTGGATGGTGGTGTGATTCAGCATGTAGATATCTATCATTGTGTGTTAGCTTCTTGAGCATATTTGATGACTCAGAATTGTCAGACTTATTTTGTGACTAGGAACATTCAGGAAAAAGAGCCATTCATTCTCTTCTATGGTACCGGATACTGGGATGTTGATCGAAGAAGTTTAAGATTTTATTAAATTCTTCACTATATATCGTATCTACAGATTACAAATGTATACATAACGAAATCATTGATTTACTAAATGTCTTGTGAATAACTTCTTCATCATAAAGTGCTTCATAAAGATGTTTGTGATTATATATGGGAGATGGAAGAGCCCATGACCGTTCCAGAAGTCTGTTCATAGAATTCGTAGTTACAGGAGAAGTATGTGGTTATTAGACAATGCTCAATTAAAGGGATAATGTTGTTAAGAACTTTATGTGAGGCTTTAATTATATTCAGAGTTTCTTTGAGTTACACTTTCGTGAAAAGTGAGTCTATATCAAAGCTCACTAACATTCAGGATGAAGACGAATTCTTTTGGATTTTTCGTACAAAGTTTATTGGGTTCGTGCAATGTGGTCCTTCTTACTAGAGATTGTAATTTACAAGCTAGAAGAAGTGACAGGTCATATGTAGGATTTTATGGCACTGATAGTTAGTCTGAGAGGGACATCAGGTTACATATGTTCAGCAATACATATAATCTTGATGAAAGAGAATTCTTGGATTTCAATGTTGCTTTAGTTTTGCTAGTAAGCCTGCTTTTTTTAATTAAAAACACTAATGTTTCATATAACTTGTTTGTTATTATATACATTAAATCTTTATCCAGTCTATTCTCTACGTTTCATTCGAAAGGAGTGTCTTTATTTTCATCCTATAATTTAATGTGTTCATGACCACTGTCGCCTTTGTCTGCTGCAAAAATACGATGATGTCTGGGCCTTTCTTTAGTTCCTGCAGTGCCAGTCGCTCTTTTCTGGTGATGTTGGACACTGAACGCTTGACCTTGCGGAGAATATTAGCTACATTTGCCTGTATGTCATCTGTAGGGAGGTTATAGATGATCGATTTCACTAATTATCTATCTCTATTTCACTAATAATTTCTTCTTTTGGAATCTCATTAACAGGGCAACGAACTTGGACATATAACTATAGGATAAGTTAAACAAGAGAAGCCTTTTTATTCTCCTATATCAGGGTTCAGCAAGATTTGCACTTCTTGGCCGATTTTCAACTTAACTCCGCCTTGCGCTATTCTCCTCACCCACCTCTCGCCTCGCGCTCATTACATAACTAAGATAGAATGAAGCAACGCATAAGCGCTCAATCGTATGCGTTGCTTCATTTTATCTTAATTATGTAATGAACAAAAAAAAATAGAATGAAGTTTACAGCGTGAGCACCCAAAGAAAGTGAACCTTATGTCTACAAACGTCATACGCTCCTAAATGTCGAGCGGTATTTGGATTGCGCGCGGGGCGAGAGATGAGAGGAATAGCGGAAGGCGGAACCAAGTCGAAAATCGGCCGAGAAGTGCAAATCTTGCCGAGCTCCGTTCTATACATAAAAGGAACAACAAATCGGGTCGGCAGGATTTTGAACAAATACAATATCCGAACCATTTTTAAGCCCCCAAGGAAGATCGGACAAATCTTAGAGAAATTATAAAGACCAAAAGCCTTCATTCAGTTCTGCAGAAATATAAAATATGTTCTTGCTCTTGCGGGAAAGTATACATTGGCGAAATCGCGAGAACGGTCAATGTACATGAAGAAACATCAACGAGATGTCATATTGAAATATGTCACACAATTAGCATTGGTAACATTAAGTCAGGACATCAAATACTATTTGATAAAATAATTACTACAGCTATAATGGCATTATATTTTTGAAGGAAATATAGAGAGGCTTTAGAAATCCAGAAATATCCAGATAACTTGAACAGAGGCATGGATTATAACATAAGTAGAATATAAAAGACTGCTCTTCTCTCTCTTCCAATCCTCCAAACATCCTTCGTTTAACAAAGTTTATAGAGAGTCCTCTGGGGGAACATTTCAGGATCAGCGCGCTCTTCCTCCTCAATGAAGTAAGCAAGGTTCACAAAACGTCAGCTTTATGAATGGATCATGGTGATTATCCGCAAATTCTGTTATATAACTTGTTATATAACACTTATCTAGCTGCAACATAACATGTTATACAAATGTGTCATCCTGATTATGTTATTACTTTATTATATAATAAGTAAATAATAAAATAATGCAAGATTCATATAAGATCTTTTGTGTGTGTGTGTGTGTGTGTGTCACACGCGCGCGCGCGCACGCACACACACACACACACACAGGGAGGGGCATTTAAAGTAGGTCACCTGAATAACTCGCTTGTTTTTAACAATAGAAGAAAAAGTGTCATACAAAAGTTGCTTGGTTTCGAGGGGCACATAATATGATGTCAATAATTGTTTTGTAGGTGGAGGCGTAAAGGATATGTTTTTTTATTTACATTTTGATAAAGCATTTTAAGACGAATACAATGACCTATAATTGAAGATTGTCATGCAAGGTTACGCAAGGTCAATAATTGAATGTAATAGAAAATAAATTTCAAGGCACTCTTCGAATAATTTCGTGTTCTTCTCTTCTTGTTGGTATACCGCTAATCGTTTAAGTATGTAAATATTTATATAATTGAATCGTTTAAATTGAATCGCACATAGTGTTATCCATATTTATTGATCAGTTTGAATTCATCTATCGATCAAAGTGTCTTGCGAATTACGTTATACGAAAGCGAAAAGTCGATATGATTTTTGTCTATGGTGAATGTCGCCAAATTATGAGAGAAGCAGTACGTTTGTATGCTGAAAGATTTCCCGATTGTGTCCATCCCTCATTCTCTGTTTTTTCAAACATAGTACAAACTTTTCAAGGAATAGGAAGTATGGATAATAAAAAAACGCAAACAAATCAAGAAAGCAACTGACGACAGAAATTCAACGAACACTTTAACTGCTGCACTAAATCCACATATCAATACAAGACAGCTTGAACGTGAAAGTGGTATTAGTCGATGAAGTATTCTGCAAATACTCCATTCCAACAAATTTCATACCTTCCATCTTACTTCCTTCTATCTTACTTCATCAAGAATTACATGGCAATGATTTTCAAAATCATGTACAATTCTGTGAATGGGCATTAAAACTACAAGAAGATGATATGTTTGTCACTAAAATCTTATTTATTGACGCAGCTATTTATTATACAAACAATAGAAAGTAAATCTTCGCAACATGCACTATTGGTCAGTAGAAAACCCACATTAGATGAGAGACAGGCAGAGACCTTGGTATATAA